CCGGGCTCGGGGCTTTGGAGGAGTTCACAGGCCCCGGGCTCGGGGCTTTGGAGGAGTTCACAGGTGCTGGGCTCGGTTCCCGTAAACTTGCACATAGCTGTCTTCTGTTGTGGAGCTCGTTGGTGGAGCCTCTAAGAGCTAGGCTCAGGGCTGAGGCACGAAGCTGGGGCCGTCCCAACTGCCGGCTCTGACTTTCCCAGTGAATTACAGCCAGCCTGAAACCTTTCAGCTTTGTCTTCAATTTGGTTTTTATTCCTACATATTTTTCATAAACCTTTGGCGTATCCTGCTGCTAAATTGCTGGGAGAACTGAGCACGGCAGACAGTTGCACAGATTGATGGACAGACAGACAGATGCCGGTGGACATCCCCCTGGCTGCAGCCGTGGTTCTAATTCCCAGTCAGACCGCACGTGGTAGTATCTGACGTAGGAGTGGCTGTTCCTGTAAAGAGGAAGTCCTGGCACTGCCTCCTGGCTCCCCGGTGCCATCTAAACAGCCCCACCCACTTTCCAAACTGATAGCCGACTTTGAGGATTTTCAGAATTTTGTTGGCAGCAGAAGCCCTTCTTCAGTGAAATCTTAAGTACAGATATAAAGGTTAGGTGGTAGTTCGTATCTTGGAATTTACTCTGTAAGCAAGGTCTGTAACCTGAATCAGTTCGGGAAGGAGTACAGCCAGGAGTTGGACACTTACACCCCAGCCCTGGGCTGGGCAGGCGCGACTCCCGGCTCTGCCCCTTGCTAGTCTGCCGTGTGATGGTGGGCCAGTCCTCTTCCTCTGGGGGCAACGGCAGTGCCCACCTCCTGAGGGGACCACAGCGCTGAGTGAGTGAGAACGCGTGCTGGCGTATGGGTGGGACGGCAGTGTTCCTGTTAGAAGGTCGTCGGGGTCACTGAAGAGTCAAAGGACAGTTGTCTCAGCGGTCTTCTGCACGCGGCGTTCATCTTGTTTGCTTCGTTACGTAACGAATTCAGACAATTTTGCTTTATGCAGAGAAGTAGTTGCAAACCCATTTTAAACAGCTCACAAATCTCAGGATACTTTTTACTTAAACTGACCAACCGAGAAGCTTAAAGAAGGGTTGTAGAAATTGGTTTCACAGTTGAATTGTTAGCAGCATATTAGCTGCTGCTTCCTAATTGATGAAATGTTTATAGTCAGTTAAGAATTTCTTACAGTAAAAGTGAGTTTGACAAGAAGCATCTAAAACTCCCACGCTTCAGGAAAGTGCACCTTGGCTTGGACACGTGTCTTGTGCACACGGGTGTCCACGTGCCATGGCGTGTTGTGCACACGGGTGTCCACGTGCTTGCTGTGGACGTGGGTGTCCACATGCTGCGCTGGGTAGGCTGCCCCTGAGCTCACCTGGTGCTGATTGCCTGCGTGTGTTGGTGGTGTACTGGAGTTCCCGGTGTTCCCAGGAGCAGGTGGGCCTTGCTGGGGGAGAACACATGGGTGCAGCCAGCCTCCCTGACGATGGCGCATCTTAGGAAGGAGGTGCCTGCCCTGCTGCCGTGTTTCAGGCAACTGCAAGTCGGCGGGAGAGGAACAGGCCGAGCGAGCTGTGATCTTGTTCCCTTTTTATCTTTGGGGTTTGCCTCCTGGAGTCAGAGGAAGGAAGCGCGCTTGCAGCAATCTGCCCTAGATTTGAGCCCTTGGCCAAGTGTCCCCAGTGTGGCGGTGTGCCGAGTCGGGAGCCCCCATGCTGGGGGGTACGGGCAGAGCGCCTCTCCAGGTGTGGCCCACCACTGGCTAGGCAGGTGCTCACTGGGAAGCTGTCTCAGGGACGCTGTGTTCTGGGCGGGCAGTGGGGAAGGTCCTGCGTTCTTGCCTTCCCCAGGGATGGCTGGTGGTCATTGGAGCAGGGCCAGCCCTCCCAGGGGAGCTGAGGCCACAGGCAGGGATGGCAGGAGGTGGTGTGTAGAGTGTGTGGCTGTGATCCGTGCCATGCCCTTCTCAGTGCTGCTGCAGGTCAGGGTAGAGCCTGTAAATCATAGTCAGAGGCGCACTGTAAAAAGGCCAGGACAGATCCAGACGTGTCAGGGATCATACGTGTGGGTGAAGTATGACGTGCTGCCGTGGTTACAGAAGGTCCCAGCGCAGCACTGCAGACTTCGGTGGGGAGGTGTTCACAGTGATGACAAGAACCAGTGCTTGTGTTCAGGCTTCACTGTGCTTCTCAGAGCCTGGAGTGTTTGCTGCACCTTCAGTGTGAACGTGGCTGTTCCGTGTGCCTTGTGAAGTGGGCTTCCAGGGTGCCGTCTGCTCTGTGTTTGTAGGTGAGAAGGCCGTTTCCAGTGAGCAGCTGAGAGAGCCCAGAGCTCCGTCTTGTCCAGCCCCATCACTGTTCCTGTTTCTGGTGTAGTTGGGTATAAAATGGTGAATATTTCATTTCTTTTTTTTAAATTATCTTTTATAACTGTCGTTTCAGAATTTCTAGAAGGTGGAGTTGGCCACGTTGAGATGTTGTTTCGCTGCAACTACTTAGCTTTAGTCGGTGGTGGAAAAAAGCCGAAATACCCTCCCAATAAAGGTAAAGTAATGGTGCATTGCATAGCCGCCTCGTTTAGGGGTGCTTGGACCCTAGAGTGTCTGCATCTGCGGCCGCACTCATCTTACTGGTGGTCCTGTGAGTCCTGAAGGACTTCTCCCTGGAGAGACACTGTCAGGGCCGAGTGTCTGCTTCCAGGGGAAGGTCTATGAAAAGGCCTGCTTGTCTTGTTGACGCATAACTGTGCTTCTCCGTGGATGTGGTTCAGTGGGAGACGGGCCAGGGTCTGCTGTGAGTCTGTGTTGTCTGTTGTAGGCTAGCGCTTGGATTAATGAGTTCATTTGAAAGCAAGGCACCAGGGATTTTGAAAGATTTTTTTTTTTTTTTGCTATTGAGAGCCGTTGACCCACAGAACATTAAATTTGGTAGCCCATTGAACAGAAAGCCTGCTTGGCTCTGGGATTAGGGATATCCTGTGTGTCTTTGAAAGAGATTGTTGTGTAGAAGGTCCAGCACTTTTAAAGTAAGGGGAGAAGAGAGCTTTAATGGCTGCAGCAGTGTGCTTTATGCCCGTCACTGAGCTGTTGGTTGAGGGACAAGGGCTGGGGAGAAGAGACCCAGGAAGGGGGAGCAGAGCGAAGGGAAGAGAGGTCGGTGCCTTGAGTCTGCATAGGTGCAGGTGTTTGGGTGTGTCTGTGGCCCAGGAGGGTGCTGGCAGGAGACGGGTGGAGCACCGTATCGTGTGTAAAGGCTGCACTTCTACCTGGCCGGGTGTGCTTGAACGGTCCCTTCAGCGGTGGCTCAGCCCCGCACACCCCACAGCCTGTTATTTCTGCCCTGATCTGTTCTCTCTGCTGCAGTGATGATCTGGGATGACCTGAAGAAGAAGACCGTCATCGAGATAGAATTCTCCACAGAAGTCAAAGCTGTCAAGTTGCGGCGAGACAGGTGGGTGTCATGTGAACTCCTTCTCCACGAAGCAGCTTTACGGTGAAGGAAAATGAGTCATTCAAACGTTGGCAACTCTAGGTTAAGACCCAGAGGACTCAGGATTGGTTGTATGGCTACACCGGGGCAGTGAGTTTGGCTTCCAGGCATCGTGGAGAGGCCAGTGGTCCATGGCCCTGTGTGGGGGGGGCCTCTGTGTCCTTCCTTCTGTGGTCTGTGGGTGGGGAACCCCTGCGTGGCCTGGCCCTGGCATCCCTCCTGTCATGGCATCGGGTGGGTGCAGTCCCCTTGGACAGGTGAGAAGATGGGCGGCGTTGCACCCTGAATGCCTCACCCCTGAGCCGTGTTCTCAGGGTGCTGTCTCAGTGGTGATTTCAGGGTGAGGGAGGTTCAGACAGTGCCCCCGTCCGCGATTGCTCTGGTGGCAGCTTAGGAGAATATAGACGTTTATCCTTGTATGGGGAGCACGATGTAAGGCTTCATTAATTTGGATTTAATTTGATATGACTCACATATGAGACTCTTAAGTTTTCCATCTCTGCCAGTGGTGGGAGGACATGAATAGGCCAGGCACAGGCATGTGCTAGTCACAGTCACACCTCTCACCCGGTGCGTGGCGTCCGTGGGCGCGTGACGGTCACAGTCAC